GGGGGAGACAGAATGAAAGTATATTTAACAGAAGAAGAAACCGACTCACGACTAAAAGGAGTCTAACGTCGAGACCGAGCGAGGAGGAACGAGGAAGGTCAGGGCTGGAGGCGAGAAAGGAGCGGGCGGAAGCGAGAAGAGCGGCTGAACGCGGAACGTGTTGAGAGGAGCGCGCGGAGAGCGGGACGGACGTGCGGCGGGGTCGGCAGGTGGCTGCAGGGGACTCGTGAGCATGTGAGTGAGAACGAGCGGGTTGGACGAGCTACTAGCGGCGGAGAGAGGGGCTGGCGGCGAGCCGGCGTGACGCGCGGCGAGGTCTGAATAGGCGGACGCCGATACGACATACCGGTAGCACCCGAGCCGACGCGCGCGCGGGCTGAGCCGGAGAGCGGACGGACAATCGAAAGCGAGACCTCAGTCGCGGCGCGCGAGAGCGACGCGGCAGTCGACGAGAGCGCAGCGGCAGGTGGAGGGTGAGGACGCGCGCCAGGACGGTGGGCCGACGGAAGTAGAGGGGCTGCGTCGACGAGGGAGCGGAGAGCAGAAGTGGAGAGTGACGAAGGTGTAGCCAGAAAGCTGGGGATTGGGTAAGTGAGGGTGACGATAAATTACGAAATACAAAGACAGAGAGGCGCGCTATACGGAGCCCTTGGGAGATAGAGGGCGTGAGAGGCGAGGACAGACATGTGGTTTGACTTCTACTGAGGGCGAGACGAGAGAGCGCGGAGGGATAGCCACGGACGGCTTGCGTGAGGGCCGTCACTGTGTAACGTAACCTTACGCGCGCCGCGAGTACTCCTCCTGCGGCAAGCGGACGAGCAACCTTTCTGGTCTTGTCCGAACACACCCTTCTCCTTGCTCCAATCTTCTCGCTCCCAGGCCTCTTTGTACTCATCGTATCGGGGGCCAAGGTTTTGCAGGCGATTCATCACGAAGTAGCCACCTACGGTGTCGCACCTCCACCACTCCTGCCTCTCCGTCGACTGCCGTCACTGACGGTTCAGACTGCGCTGCTTTTTTCAATTCACTTTCCTGACTATGTGTGTTTATTTGTCACAAAATAAATTCAAACGTGAGTGGAACTTACATGGCGATCTGCGGACATCGTAGCGTCGATAAGGACGACTACTTACTTGCAGAGGTAGATTAACAGCACGGCGGTCACGCCACTCCACCCGCCCTCACGGCGCACGTCCAACTTCTGTCCCCCTCGGCGTCACGCGCGCTGCGACAGACGGAGAGCGTCAGAATACGCGCCCGACCCCCACCGAAACAGGCGTACCGAGCGAGTGACTCCCCGTAGACGCCTCTCCGCGCCCTCGCCCTCGCTCCGCCGCTCTCGGCCTGGTGGGACCGCACCACCGCCACAACCGGGCCAAGTGCGCACCCGCACGCCGCGCGTCGCGCGCCAGAAAGGACGCCCCCACAGCGCACGCTCGCCGCCCGCCGCGCCGAAACCGCGACCGACGCGCGGGAGTAGCTCGTCCGCCCGCCAACGGCGCGGAGCGCGAGGAGGGGGCGAGAAGAGCGAAGAGGAGGGGGGGTGGGGGGGCGACACCTGTGCGGTCGTGGGGAGCGAGGGAGTGGGGTGCGAGAGTTGCGACGAGCAGAGGAGGGGGAGGCGGAGAGGGGAGAGGGGGGCCGGCGGCTCGCGCGCGGCGCGGGCGCGGCTATGAAAGAGAGGGGGGCACTTCCAGCACTTGGTAGGAGCGGGAGTGGAGGACGGAGAGGAGAGCAGGTGGGCGCCTAGTGTGGGGGGCGCGGGGGTTACGGTCAGAGGAGAGTGGTGGGGGTTGCATGGAGCGCTCTTCGTGAGAGAGTTGTTGGTGAGGTCTGTAGGAGGGACTAATGAGAGGGAGGTTTGTTAGGTCCGACTGACGAACAAGGGGCGGCGGGGCCGGGGCCGGTTGTTAGCTCGTTAGGCGGCGCCGGTCACCGACTTGCCCACTGTGTTTTTGTTTGTGGAGCTGTCGGTCAACCCGACATCGTCGAGACTTGAAGTTTATGTTGAGAACAATGAACGAACCCATGGGCTGTGCGTCAACCAACCGACAGTTGGAGTCTACGAGGAGTCTCTCGCGGCCGGGTAGGGCGTTTTCGGACGCCGCCGCCCGGCGGGGCGAGTCCTGCGCGCGAACCGTCTCATTTCTACCCAGTCCGCCATTTGACACCCCGTGACGCGCTCTTGAGCGGCTACTTCGGTGACACTATTGAGAAAGACGGAAAGAAAAAGAGAAGAAAGATAAAAGATTGTTTAGTCCGGCTGGAACGAAAGTCGGGCTGTATCTACGTCTCAAGTAAGAGTCGTCCTTTCATCCACGTACGATGGTGGCGCGCGGGGGCGGCGCCGGGGGGCCCGCGAGATCCGCGCCATGTAAGGTCCCACTCACGTTGCTTGAATTTAGTTTGGTGAAATAAACGACACACGAGGTGGAGGAAGTCGAATGGGGAAAAAGAAGGTGAAGTTCGGAAAAAAGAGGGGAGTCTGTGAGACCGTGTCAGTGCCACGGACAGTACTTTGGGCGACGGTAGTTAGTTGCTAGGAGGGCATGGAGGTCGACCACCCGTAGGGTGCTGCGCGCCGGACTTGCTATGAATCGCCTGCAAAACCTTGCTCTGCACATAGGAATTGAAGAAGACAAAGGGCCCTGGAGGACGACGAATTGAGAAAGGAGAAGTCGGTCGTGGATAGGTCACCGGGACAAGGACGCAGAAGAGAGGAGGTTCGCCAGTTGGGAGAGAGGAGTACGGAGTAGAGGTTGGTGGGCGCGAGCGGGCCGGGGGGCGGGGGGGGGCGGGCGGGGGGGGCGGCGCCTTTCGGTGTTAGAACGTGCCGGAACTCGAACCGAGTCCGCGCGGGCGATCCGTGCCATCCTATGGGTTTTGCTCGGGCTCCCGAAATAACAGTTAGAAAGCAAACCACGACGATGTGCGTGTGCTCTTCGAGCTCTATGGACGAAGGGCGTAGGGCTTATGCGGTTTTGGACGGATTTACTGTATCCGTCATCGCTCAACCCGGCGTTAGGCCCAACCCAGTTGTCTGGTAGCCCACTTCGTCCACTGGATAAATTACCACTGGAAGCTGTCTACAGTGCCCTCGTAGAGAACTTACTTAAGTGCGAACAAAAACAACTCGTGCGGTCCCAATGGCGAAGTAGAGAGTCCCTCACAGCTCACGAAAACAGCCGAAGATGTTGTGAGGTCTTGGTGAGCTGGGAGCGCGTGTGCGGCGCGCACGCCCGGACGGGATTGAGCGTTACAGTGTGATTGCTGTCGATTAGACGGTAGACACTGGGAGTGGTCGGGTGTACCACCGGTATGTCGTATGGGCGACGCTATTAAATGAATGGTACGGTAGGCGGAAGTAATGTAATAGCACGTAGTAGGAACACATGTCGCAGAACCGGATGTCTCATCAATGAAAATAGAGTAAATCGAGACACCACAGCATAAAATGCCGAACACACAACAAGAGAAGCGTCGCGTACAGGTGTCGAGGAAGCCCTCGTCAAAAGTTCAGGAGGTTCATGCGTTCTCGTAGGACCGTCTGTAAAAGACGGATAGACCCGTGAGAATTTCAGTCGGTCTTGTGTAGACAGTCTGACGTTAGACGGCTTTCGTCGGAGTCGAGTTTCACTTCTTTGTTAAATTATACTTTATTCTCGTCCACCTCTTCATGAGGGACTAGAACATGAATCTCATCTTCATGGTCTCACATTAGGGAGACGAATGTTCGATTTTGAGGACGTAAGTTTTACCAAGGAGGTGTCATTGTGTCAACGTTCTGCCATCATAGTGCGCAGATTATAGTGAGACATGTCCATCGGTTCTCCTCATTTGGATTGAATACATACCATTTCAAGCGAGATAAAGTTTTTGATACAAAAAAAACTAACATATTAACTGACCATTCTCCGAAGGGTAAAAGTGTAAGAGTCCAGTGTGGTAGAGTCAAAAACGTATGTGTTGTCGCTTCAAAGCCGCATTGCAAACAGTGTGAGGTTATGACTTGTGGAGTCCCGGTGAGAGATTAGCTCCGGTACAAAATCTTATTATGGACAAGATTTATTTAGCAGTCAGTCTCGGGAGGTCTCTCCAAAGATGTCTACCACTTCTAGGAAAATTTGCAACTAGTAGGCCCGGAAATGTTTGAGGACGAAAAGGGTTGTCCTCGACTACAGACTCGACTGGGTCACCTCTCCTACGTTTCCTCGGTGGTCCGCGCAAGACGGCGGACGTACCACGTGCAGACCGGTACCCAAAATAGCAGAATACGTGTAACAGCACTCGCGGTACCGTCCAGGTGATGGATAGTCGTCCAATTCTCTGGCAAGTTTATCTCACGACACACGCCACGGGCAGATCGTAGAAGAGTGGTTGATACTTTTTAATGCTGAGAACTAGCTTTTCGTGGAAGGTAGGTAGCGTCGAGAATAAATGAAGAGGAAAAACGAAAGGACCATCTCTCAATTGGTAAAAGACAACGACCACAAAGGTATGTTGACGTACAGGAGAACAGTAGCAGTGCGTTGTTTGACGTCTGATCTTGTACTTGAGTAGAAGTACCAGAGTGTAATACTCTGTTACAAGTAAAACTCCTGCATTCAAAATGTTACTCAAGTAAAAGTTCAAATGTATTAGCGTCTAAATATACTTAAAGTACCAAAAGTAAAATTACTTATTATGTAAATTGGTCTATTTCAAAATAATATGTTTTTTGATTATAATTGACATGGTAGAGTTCCATTTCACATTCTCAGTCACACCATCTCAGTTTTTGCATACACACAGGAAGTTTCGGGTAATTTTGTCACACTCAATATGACACCTCAAGGGCCAACTTCTAATGAAGGCATGTTTTAAATAAATAACCTGTTCTAAATACAATCGTCAGCAGAGCTCCTCCAGGTTTTAACAGATGGTGAAGATCTTTTAAACGTTGATATCCGGACCTTACAAACTCCTGCTTTTCCAACAGGAGCTGATGTCTGAGCTGACCAGTGGAGAGGATGCAAAGAGCTACAGGCAGCGTCTCTGCCGCCTCATGGTGCACGTGCTGGCATGGGTTTTATGTCTTATCAGCATTGTCGTGAGCGCCATGGCAGTCCACTACCTATCAGAGGTTAGAGAACACGTTCAAATAAGTGCTTGTGCGTGCCCGTCTAGCATTCTCTCACAACTATGACAAAATTAACTCTGATGAAAAAGCACCTTCTCATGCAGTCTTATTTACTTCTCCTTTTGCTTTCCTGGTAGAGAGTTAACACATTTTCTTTGCTGGTGTTCAATAAAACTGCAATGTCTCTGTCATCACCAAAAACTGCACTGATGAGAAAGAGATTGTCTAAAATAGTGGTTCCCAAAAAACAGTTTGACTTTGATCAACTGGCAAAATACTGAGGGAAATATTACAAGTTGTATTTCACTGACATCATGTTATCAAAAAGGACAAACTGCAGTTTTATTTTTCACGCATGGTTTCTTATGATTTTAATGTGCTAATAATATGCATTGCAACATTTGCCCTCAAAGCCAGACACAAAACACACTAAAGCCTTTCTGTACTGTTAGACAGGGGTGGGGGCTGGAAATGTAGCGAACACAGAGCACACATTCTTTAAATGTAAATACTATTTATTTACTTTTACAAACAGTGAAGCAGTTGGGGAGCTATATCATTATGCCTTGCAGGACTGTGTATGATTGGACTTTGTGTCACACAGGCAGGTTGCAGTGTAACATCAGAGAAGACTGGGGCAATACATTCTCAAATTGCACCACTTAACTTGTGAATGCAAAAACAATGCAGGGATGATTTTTTATTATTCAATAACGGCAAACAAATCAAACAGTATGAAGTGATTCATATATGAATACAGATTTAAAAAAAAGGTTTTCATAAACATATTTTCGTCCTGCAGGTTGAAAAATTCACATTTATTTATTTATCTGTTTATTTACAATTGGCATACAGTACCAGCTAACTCTTTAATTCATGGTCACTTTTCTTAAAAACAAATAGGCCTACACTGCTGCTTTTCTTTCTTTTACCATGGTGTACATATCTGCTATTTAGTTTTTGTGTTTTACTTATAGTGTTATTAATAACGTGTGCATGCATAGCCATTTAATTTGTTTCCCCTCACTTTATCTGTCTGCTGTTGTAATCATGTAAATGTCCCCGTTGCAGGACGGATAAAGGATTTCTGAGTCTCTGCCCATGTGTTTGTCCAAAGCTCTCACTGTTATTTATCCATTCTTTCACAGGCTTGTATCACTCAGAGTCCCTTCAAAGACACGGAGCTGGTGCTGCCTGCAGTGGTGTCGGCCATTAACCTCTTACTGCCCGGTCTCTTCAACCTGTGCACTTGGGTAGAGAATTACGACTCACCCAGCGTATGCGTCTATGTCTCCATCTTCAGGTGAGAAGGAGAACTGTGGAAAAACAAATACACAATTAACAATAGGCCTACATATGACAAGACACATTTTAAGAGATAATTCACATGCATTTGGAACCAACGTAATGCTTGTAAAAACATAGGACAAGCATGAAACAGTTTTGGTATTTACTGATAAATACATGTGTTACACAGTGCTCAAAACTGCTTGAGTATGTCTACTAAATGTTCTCTTCAATGTGTGTTTAAAAAAAAAATGTAAGTTAAAAAGAGCACTACATCATTTACTAGTCTTTTTCAATCTGGAGCTTTCAATTCAGCTTGAATCCTCAACCCGTTGGTTTTTACTGTGAGAATNTTCTTCTGGAGATAGGCACTGCTAAATCCACTCCTCCATAGTAATACCCCCCCGGAGGTCGAAGTTAATCTTAAATGTTTCCATCTTATGCTTTGTAAATTTGTATTTACAAAGCATAAGATGGAAACATTTAAGATTAACTTCGACCTCCGGGGGGGTATTACTATGGAGGAGTGGATTTAGCAGTGCCTATCTCCAGAAGAAAAAAAAAGCACCTAAACAACGGCATGCAGAGCTACGTGAAGAGCAGGTAGACCAACTGGAAAAGTACCACCGTTCAAAAGCTTTCTGATGCGGGTCTTGAAACAAAGCAGAGAAATTATGACCGTTAGTGGCCACAGGTGCGAAAGCTCTCTCCAGAGCTACTGGAAGCCCAATCTCGGGGACCGGAGAAAGTGGAGCAATATTCTCGCCACGCCAAGCAACAGCCTAGAACCACCTCAACCTATACAAGTCACCTCGTAAGCCATGCTACTGTACTGATGCTGGACAGTTTTTCAGTGGGTGCACAATAAACGGCAACACACATTAATGTAAATAAACAGCCAATTAATGGATCAACGCTCTCTGTCTAATATGTTCGCCAGCTGTTAGTGTTGTTGCATAGCAACCACGTCGCACTATGTTTTGTGCAGAAGGCAACGGAGGGACTATTTTATTTTGAACATCATAATTTACTAATAAAAACTATTTAAATTAGAGTCTGTATTTTTCTTTCATATTGCCACACTTGGTAACCGTTTTATAAAAGCAATAGCTCACTTCAGGCCGTGATTAGTGCTGCGTACCGGTACGCCGAACCGGTACTGGACTTGTAAAAAGTTTCGGTTCAAGTCCGGTTAAAACCGGAACGTCAGGAACCGGTACTTACGTATATTCTCCTTTGTGTTCTAAACCATCTAAAACCTTCCATAGATCGAGAAATTTGCGCTGAGAAAAGACGAAAAACATTGTTTTGGCTTCTGATATGGCGGCCATTACTGAGCTCACGAAGTCTCGCAAAATATCGCAACTGCTCGCGAGATCTGTGTGACGTCAAGGGAAGCTGGCTTAGACATAGTGGACACTGACAGCGTGGGATNTTCTGGGATTTTTGCTCACCGTTCTTGTGATCATTTTGACCCCACGGGGTGAGATCTTGCGTGGAGCCCCAGATCGAGGGAGATTATTAGTGGTCTTGTATGTCTTCCATTTTCTAATAATTGCTCTCACAGTTGATTTCTTCACACCAAGCTGCTTACCTATTGCAGATTCAGTCTTCCCAGTCTGGTGCAGGTCAACAATTTTGTTTCTGGTGTCCTTTGACAGCTCTTTGGTCTTGGCCATAGTGGAGTTTGGAGTGTGACTGTTTGAGGTTGTGGACAGGTGTCTTTTATACTGATAACGAGTTCAAACAGGTGCCATTAATACAGTTAACAAGTGGAGGACAGAGGAGGCTCTTAAAGAAGAAGTTACAGGTCTGTGAGAGCCAGAAATCGTGTTTGTTTGTAGGTGACCAAATACTTATTTTCCACCATAATTTGCAAATAAATTCTTTAAAAATCAGACAATGTGATTTTCTGGATTTATTTATTTATTTATTTATTTTTTTCTTTCTTCATTTTGTCTCTCATAGTTGAGGTATACCTAGGATGAAAATTACAGGCCTCTCCTTTTTAAGTGGGAGAACTTGCACAATTGGTGGCTGACTAAATACTTTTTTGCCCCACTCTACTTAACCAAAACAATATTGATTAAAAATGAATGGTCTTTATTTCTCCCAGGCTTGGGGTGCTGTTTGCTCCACTGCTTCCTGCAGTACAGATCCTAAAACTCTTTGTGCTATTTTACATGAAGAAGGTTTGTATAGCAGGTGTAATTTCATACAGTACATGTCATACAGATATGGATTTGCATGTCAAACTAAACATTCTTCTTCTGGTTTCTTCCCCAGAGCAGTTTATTGCTTAACTGTCAGGCATCAAAACAGCCCTGGAGAGCCAGTCAGATGACAACACTGTTTGTTTCTCTTTTGTTCTTCCCCTCATATCTCGGCGCTGCTGTGTCTGTCACTTATACAATTTGGATGTGAGTGTAACACAATGTCCACACTCTAATTGACTGTGATGCTCAAGCAGTTTGCCTCCTGAAAGGCATGTGTGAATTACCCGACCTCAAGGATGCATGTTTTTGAACAGGCTTTGAACATAATGACGGTAAAAAATAAATCCTTATCCAGCATTAGTCCAAACACAATAACAAAACAATGAGTTTGGTGGCGTCCGTTGTTCCTCTCCAAAAGAAATGTGCTCGGTAATGTAAAAGATAATAACACTAAAAGTAGTACCAAGTTGAAATTCAGTGATTATTAGTAATATCCGGATAATATAGTATGGTGGCTAAAATCCTTCATTCTGTTTAAAACAGTCAATAAGAAAAAGGTTGTTTTTTTTAAACTGGATAAAATGTGGATTTATTGTAAACATGAATAAACTGTTACCTTAATATAAAACTACAGGTTTATCCAGGTTTTGAGAATTGTTGGAATCATCTGGTAAAATTTCAGTAGACAAAAATATGTAAATTGTAGTCCACAGGACATTTTAATGTGCAAATGTTAAATATTACACCTTTTTTACATCCAATGTGCTTGAGTTTGAAACCTAAACAAAATGGAGATGTGTTATTGTCCACATACTTGCAAACTGCACTATATATTAAGAATCCATGTGTGATGCCAACAGGATTAAACCCTCGACAGAGTGTGGCCCTTTCAGGAATCTCACCACAATGTTTCAATCGGGCAAGCTGTGGGTCCAGCAGCTGGAGAGCTCCAACACGTTCCTGTTCTGGCTCAGCAAGGCCTACGACTTACTGGTGGAGCACCCACTGTTCTTGTTCCTCGTCAATGGAGTCTTTCTGTAAGTGGTGACAAGATGATGTCAATATTTCATGTGTCATGCCCTCTCAAATCATTTGCTGCAAACTTGTCTGAATAATGATAATCTCCTCTGATGTCATTTTTTTTTCAGAATAATGATATACGTTCACAGTCAAGTTGTCGATGGCCAAAGGAGGATCGTCAGTCAGTTACAAAAGCAAATTGAAAATGTATGCATAATCAAACTAAAGTACTACCATGCTAACACACAAACAATGACAATACTAACATGCTGATGTTTACCAGCATATTAAAATGCTAATAAGACAACTTACAACTGAAGCTGATGTGAATGTCAATAGATCACATTTCAATAAAGACCTGATTATGGTTCTACATCTGGTATAAATCATCCATTCTCCTTTGGGAATGTTTTTCTGCATGGACCATGTTGTATTCAAGACTAAGAATTAAGTTCAATGAGCAAAGTCGGTACTATTCATCTATGCATCTAGGCACAATGAATGACTCTACCAAACTTCATGGAAATCCATCATACTGTATAGTATTTTAGACATTATCTTACATGCCTTAGAATCAAAGATACATATAGAGTATTTTAATCTTGTTCTGAATATATCTTCTTTATTTTCTTGTGTGCAGGAAGGCAAAGACAAAAAGTTCCTCATCACCAATTTGCAAGCCCTTTATGAACGGAGTAATCTGGTTTCCCCTAACCGATAAGGAAGGTATTCGCAATGCTGTATTTCCTCCTAGTGGTCGTAACATGTTCTGGTTCGCACGCTTTTTTTTTGCTTTTACTGACCTCACGTTCAAGCTGGAAAGGAAGTTGTGCGACCACTTTCTTACTTCTAAACATTTACACCATTCTGTACCACTTGAAATAAATGAACTCACTGGTGTTAAGCAAACTCAAGTACAAGCAATGAGAACACAAGTAAAAGCCAAACCAGTAATATGTGTGCTATTTTCAAATATATTCCACAATGTTTGCAGTGGTTAATAGAAGAACATGAACTAACACCGGCTGTTAGCACTATATATGATATTTAGCATAATATATGTCAAAACATACTTTTATGTTAGATTCTGTTGAAGTTTATGCATAATGATCTTGAATATGTTGTATGAAAATAAATAAATTTGAACACATCTTGATATGTTTTTTGGCGACTTTGATATAGCAATTATCCTTTTATTTTAAAATATCTGATCATTCCAAATCACCATTTTTATTCTAGTATTTAACAGATTTTCTAAAACAAAACACACATTCAACATATTATGTAAATGTATGCGGAGAATAAAACAATCGGAATAGTGATCTATGAACTTTACGCGACTAATGCTTTGGTAACAAAAAGTGATTCATCTGGTGTTTTAAACAGGGAGATGTAGTCAAAAATGAAAGCTATAGGCTACAGTAATATGTCAACCACTGTTAATTGCTTTTGTAGAGTATGTTTGTTTATTCAATAAAACGTACATACAGTATATCTAGAAAGAAGCAAACCATTTAAGCTAGCTTTAATTGCTAGTTTGAGTTTGAACAATTATATATTTAAGCAATAGCTCACGACAGGCCGTGGTGCTCATTATATCACAGCTAAGGGGCGTGGTTCGGCCCGACGCGANGGAGAAGTACTCTGATCTTGTACTTGAGTAGAAGTACCAGAGTGTGATACAACTTTTACTTGAGTAACATTTTGAATGCAGGAGTTTTACTTGTAACAGAGTATCACACTCTGGTACTTCTACTCAAGTACAAGATCAGAGTACTTCTCCCACCTCTGCTTATTTCATATAAATTGTTTCTTACTTTGAGCTGAGTGCTGATTTTCTCAGATTGCAGTCTGACAGATGTGTTCTTGCTGACTTTAAAGTCCCAGATACAGAAAATGTTTCCTGCCAGATTGCTGTTGGACTTGAGGACTTGAAAACTTCTCCCGAAGGACTTGGACATGCTGCAAGAGAACAACACAGCCGTAAAATACACACCACAGAGTAAATGAGATAAAAGTAACTCTCTTGTAGCCCAACCTGTACACAAGGATGATGCAGATAATGAAGAAGGCGATGGCGATGGTAAGTAAATATGCTGCAGGTATGCTGTATGGCACCATGTGGGGCTGGTGGGGGTCACAGATTGGCAGATTAGCTGTGTTAGTTGCATTGGAGTTAGCAGCCCGGCACGTTGTGAGGGTAGTGTTGGTGTAGAAGCCGTAAAACATCACACTCTGAGAGAGGTAACCCTGCCAACAAAAAAAGGTGAATTCATTCAAGAGATGCTTCCCTGGACATCTTCAAGTCACCATTAAAATCTCACCTGTTCACCATGGTCTTTGACCCCTAACCCATTCCACTCCTACTGCTATTTATTTAATGTTTTGTATTCGGGATTGTGGGAAACAGTATTTCGATCTCTCTGTCTGTACACACAAACTGAAAGATTGACAATAAAGTTGACTTTGATGTATCCTACCGTGCCTGTGAGCAACTCAAGGCCAGTGAAATTGTTGGAATGAGGGTCATGAGGAGGAGGGTTGACTGCTTGTGGAAAGACCAGGAACAGGCCATTGATAGTGAAGAGGAAGAGGTTAAAGAGCAGGAGGGTCCGGAGAAACAGGAAGTAGGATAGCACCCCGGTTCCAAAACGTCCGCTAAGTATCTTCATCGGTGAATGCCACAGCTGGAGGTAGGTGAGGACGGAGAGGCAGCTGAACAGGCAGTGACTCCAAGTCTGAGGGGAGAAAAAAGTAAAGTGAAGGACTGATACACACAAATAAAAGTGGTTTTATTTAAGTTTGCACTCACCCTTGAAATGTACACGCCTAGACGCCTGTAGCATGCACTATTCCTGCTGATGAATGAACTCTCATCTATGTCCCTGAAAGCAAGTCGCCTGATTTAAAAAAAAAAGGAGAAAGAGTTATCACAGTGGCTTCATTTGAAGACAGTTGACAGTTCTCAGTGCCACATGTACCTGACTCTCATCTTATCTGCCAAGCTGAGCGGCGTGGCTCGCAGCTTTCGCATGGCCTCGCTCACTGAGAGGCATCTGAGGTTGGACACCAACTGCTTTTCTGTAACCCAAAAGTAAGAAAGTTATTGAAGTTTCAGAGTTGCTACAGCCAACGCTGGCTGTCAGTTTGGTTTTTGTTCACCTTCAGCACTTATTTCCTCCATTTGTTCCTGAACAAAGTCAGCCTGGATTGGTTTGGAGTGGTGAGAAGAATCATGGGAGGAAGTCTGAGGTTGCTGAGATGAGTCTCTCGCATACTTGGGAATAACTGCATTTATCCCTGTGTGGACAAGAAGCAATCAATGGTTCACGACTTCACGTGTGTATATGAATATTGTCAACCCACAATAAGACACTGGAAGAAGATTACATCTCACCAGCAGTGCGACTGGGCATCGAGGAGAGCACCTTTAAAGTAGCAGCTGAACGGTGATGCCTCAACAGAGACTTCCTCTGCCCTGTGTCAAGTGTCTCGTCTCTCATGTGGCCGCTTGCAGTGAATGGAAGATCTTCTCTATTTGCACCTTTGCATTCCCTAAAATCATCCATCTCTAAGGACTCAGGACACCTCTGGGTGCTGGCAGCAGGCTCTCTTATAAACCGGAAAGTGCCTTGACCGGGTTTGCTTCCTCCCATGTCCCTGAGGGAGAGGAAATAATGACCTTCATTACAGAAACATGTATACAGTATAAGACACGTTGCATCTGAAATGCATATTTTTTACCCGGAATTACCATGTAGAGATTCTTCATTTTGCTAAACAATTTTTCTACATCTTGCTGGGAAGATACTGAAAACTTTCAAGTGCTAGATTAAGAGCAAAAAGCCTCAAATATATCACTGAGTGCATGCAAAGATGCTTCAAACCTAAAGGCACTGAAAGCTGGGCCAATGAGGAACTGAACATGTTGTCATCTAAAACTTTAGAGCAATTCTCAACGCACTAACATTGAGGAAAATCAAACTAAATATACTTTAAAAGTAAAACAATTTAATGAAGGACACTAAGACTTCCATTAATGTGTTAAGGTAACAGCTTTGTGTGCTTCTTAAGACAAAAATAAAAAACAAAGTTGATCAACCTGATATAGCAAAAAGATGCAGAGGACATTTCAGATACAGCCAATAATCGCAAAGCAAAGCAATTCTGAAATTAAGGCTTAAAAGAGGACTTACTCAAAGTCAGACTCAGAATCAGAATCTGTTTGACTAATGTTCACACTGTATGCCATGGTCCTTGATGATCGCTGTTGCAGCTACCAGCATCGAGTCTTCACCCTCAGTTACAGAGACGACCACAGAGCAGTGTTGCACTCTATTCTAGACACACCCAACACGTCAAAACACATGATACAGACTTCCTCTCTCTTTCTCTCTCTCAGCACAGCTGTGCCTAATTTACATTTGGTGCAAAGTGTATCTGTCTGAACCTGATGAAGTGCAATCAATCAAGCGTCTCTGACACGCCATGTACAGGGTTCATAGGGAAATAGTACATACAAAAAGAGTAAATAATTACCTTTTATTTTTTAAGTGCCTTTTCGAAACACAAGTCACAAAGAAAATAATAATTTAAACAATAGATATTGATGAAACACTGAGAAAACGAAATATAAAAGACATAATTGAGCAGGTATCAAAAACGCTTATTAAAACTTCCCTATTTATCCAATTATAATTGGAACAATTTGGATTGGTATTGTGGGGTTGATGTTTGACCTGAGTGTGTTGGAATCATGGGTGTATACTGCCATCCAATGGATACACTGAGAAACTGCAACGCTACATTACATTGGTCAAACACTCCAAAGTATTGGAATAAACTCAATTACTTTTTTATTCTGAGAGCCCAACTTTATGATGTAAAAATGTCTGTCATCATAGTAGGAGAATGCACCCACACCTGCTTTAATTGAAATACATTGCAGTGCATTAACACTTAATATTTAGATTATATTATTATTTATTCATATGCAGTGAGTATGAATACTATTAACATAGCACTCATTTTCATAGTAAGCCTATCTGCCTTTGCTGTTGCATTTTTGGGGCCATTCCAGTGATGTTTAACTTTGCGCCCTGTAAAATAAGAGGCTCTGCAACCTACTCGGCATGTTTTATCTCGAGTACCCTCATGCATCGTCCCATTTGTATATTATAAACTAATTCCCCCTCGGGTTACATAGACACTTTTAAGGTTATTTTTCACCAAATAATTCAAGTTGAAACACCACGAAAATCAAGACCGTACAGTAATTATACCTCCACTCTGAAGCTGCTGTTTACGAGGAGCACTTGAACACATCAGAGCAGGGGCGGTGTTTGAAAAGTTTTCAGGAAGCTGTTCTCACAAAACGAAACTGCCCTAACTTTGACAGGAACACCTTCCAGCTCGTCTTTTTTTATCGCTTGAAGGATACTTTTTGTTGGAAAAAAAATGCAGAGCAGTGCTTACGGGGCGTCGTTGGCTGGCGGTGCTTTTGATGTAGTACATTTTGTAAAACAGCCTCAAACCATATTGCGATGCCTGAGCTGGGTGAGTGACTCCACGGAAAAGTTAGCATCAAAGTTAGCCAGCTGTCACGTCAATGTAACAGATGTGGGCTGCCAGGGTCGACACAATCAAAACAAAATGCTTCGTGTTAGCCTTACAAGCTGCTAACAGTGGATATGAAGTGGGCTTTTTGCTTAAATCATAAATAATAGTTAGAGAAAGTAACACAATTGATGATTTTCTGCACCACTTGTTGACATAAGCTAATGTTAGCTAGCATGTCCAGTGCTGTCTCACCACAATAACTGTGTGTTTTCCACGTGATGATGGACGATTGGTGTGCATTTGTGTTGCTTATTCTGCTCTGAAAAGTGGACATGGTTGAGATTAAACCCACAGAGGATGTGGCTCCTTTTTTTCGGGCGTGTTTTTCAGTGTGAGATCATGGATTTAAACTTGTACAGCGTCATCAGTTGCCCTGCAGAGTAGTTTTTATATCCGTAAAACTTCATAGGTCGATTAAAATCTTAGCCATGTTGTAATAATAATACTTTTTATTTACATCACACTCTTTACTACACTTGTGCTTTACAACAAGACAACAGGCAACAGACGACAAGTGACAACAATGTAAATGCATTACTAAAAATACACTTTATAGAGGTTTTTAAAGAAGATGCAAAGTTTGCTGCCCTTGTCTTTTTGAGTAAATAGGCAAATTCAATTTTCCCTGACAGCAAAGGCATTGCCACCCTTGTGTTGACTCTAGATTAGTGCAAAAGACAGAAGAAAATCAGTTAAAGATCTCTCAGAGGGGTAGGACAGGGGGGTCCTAAGGCAAACAAGGGTCATAAACATCATCAGTAAGATTTTTTTAATTAGTTGAAAAACTGGTACAATGTATGATCAGTACTGTTGACTTTTTGAAATATCTTGTTTTGTCTGACAAATAGTCCAATTTATAAGAGATCTCAGCAATTATTAAACATAGAAAAAGCATGAGAATCTTGAAACGAGCGTTTATCTTATTTGTTTAACTATTACTTATTAAACTAAATGGTTGCTAAACAAGGATCACTTTCAAAAGATATGTTACATTTTCTTATGCCATGTTTAATGTTTAAAATAGAATACGCCTCCTCCTTATCTGAACTGGTTTAACAGATGTTATATAATAACTTTTGATGGTGAATTCTTTCTTGTAATGGGCATCATGTGATGAGTCACACGGCTGCTTCACTTGAACGTGCATATTTCACACCCCCCCCCGGCTCCTAGCTTTAACCCTGTGTGTCTCTTCTTTGCAGTTATTCTCCATCGTGGTCTTTGCAACCATCACAGCAGAAGGCTACATCAACCAAACAGTGGAGGAAAATGCCAAATGCATATTCAATGCGCACGACAGCGCCTGCAGCTACGGCGTGGGCATCGGAGTCCTGGCTTTCATGGCTTGTGTCTTCTTCCTCATAGTGGACGCCTACTTCCCACAAATAAGCAACGCCAAAGAGAGAAAAGTCATTGTTTTAGGAGATCTGGTCTTCTCAGGTGAGAGTCATGTTTCTCTCTAGACTGCTTTCACACAATACAGGAACCATGGCTAAAAACAGGAAGTGCAGCCTAATTGAGGTTAATTCAGTTTTATATTTCCTCCTAATCCTGACTATTTATTTCTCTGCTTTCATCAGAATCAGAAACAGGTTTATTACCAGGTAGGTTCACACGTGCGAGGAATTTGACTTGGTGTCGTGGTGCATACATAAAAGTAAAACAAGAATTAAAAACACAGGTAGAGAACTAGAGAAATATTTTTAAAAATAGTCAAATATGACAGTATTTGCATTTGAATGGTATAAAATATGGAATACAAATCGGCAGTAATAGACAAAACAAAACAAAAACAGATATTGACATTGATATTGTGTATTAATGTAATGGATAGAGTCTGCATTGTGGCTGAGGTAAAGCGTCAGTGAGGGGGGGGGGGGGGAGGGAAGAAACCATTCAGGTTGCCAAAAAACATTTTCATCCTTTCTACAGGGGTTTGGGCGTTCCTATGGTTCATCTGCTTCTGCGTCCTGGCCAACCAGTGGTCTAAAACCCTCGACTCCACTGAGGCTGTTGCTGGGGACGCCGCCCGGGCCATCGTGAGCTTCTCCTTCTTCTCCATCATCTCCTGGGTGAGCCTTTCATCCCCTCCGAGTGTGACCAGCCTTTGACTGACAAAATCCTATAATAACACACCACTCAGCTGGAGGAAAATGTGCCAGAGAGTAGTGTAAAAGCTCCCTTTACTAACTCTTAACTTCTCCCAACAGGGTCTCTTGTGCTACTTTGCGCTTGAAAGGTATCGCCAAGGTGTCAATGAGTTTGAGCAGGAGTACAGAGACCCAGCCAATGACCAAAGTACTCCATACCCGCCGTCTCCGTACGCCAGCAGCGGCCCCACGGGCTACCAGCAGGCGCCTTTCTCCAACAACCAGGAGCAGCCGGGGGAGTACCAACCTCCAACCTACTGAAGGACTGAGACTCAAACGCATGAATCAGAACAGGAGAGTTTGCTTTTTAAATAAACATGTGTGCCACTGGTTTCATTTACAACTCAGACTGTTCTCTGCACTCCCACTTCCCTGCAGAACTTGTTTGCACATGTTTGGGTGCACTGAAGTGTTTTTTTAGTTAATCTCATTGTTGTAACATGTGTGGTGGGGTTTGTGCCACACAGAGCAGGTGGAATTATAGTACTTTTTTTTTTATAAGAGAATGTTTTGGCAAGAGAGAGTGATAGTGCGGTTGTTGTCTTCGTACCAAACCAACCACAGTTTGGACAGTGCCCTCTTTTGCTTAGCTTTATGAGTGCAAAGTGTCAAAGCAATAATTAGCCAACAGGTTACGATTGACTCTGTTGCCGGGAAATTGTCTTTGCATTTTTGAGATTGACAATATCGTTTTTTAGTTTAATGAATATGTTACTGATTAGAATATATATTTTCTTCATGTACACAAGTTCAACAACAGTAGATTAGTGTAACACTTTTGTACATATTGATCTTTGACCTCAAAACAAGCCCATGTTACTAAATCAATGGGTGCAAGGAAAACTCTGTAACTAGTGTAGTCATGTTTTTTTCCTTTCTTAAAAATCAACCACTGTAAAATGGCTTTTATGCACTGAAAATCACTTCTGTTAGACAGTTGATTGCTCATTTTTGATCTTAGATTGTTCATTTTAATGTTAATTCTGCCACAATTACTATTTAGTATTAGTATAAGGGTGTTTTGTTTATATTTAAAAGTTGCCAATACATTGAATTGCATCAGCTATCTCTAGAAGTGTAATGTGCCTTTCTTGAGTTCACTTACAGTTTAAAAGAAAACCCTTTCACAAATGTTTAGCCAAAATGTGGTTTCAGGAATTCAGTGATGTTTTGCTTATTTGATATATTTATTATCTAATTTAATCTTTTCAATCAGAGAACATGACAATCAGACCATTCTTTTTTTTAATCACTTTTCCTCTTGCTTTTTCTAAACTGCAGTTGTGCCTTTGCATGTGTTGCAGTTTCACTGTTGTGCTCACGGCTTTACAATACTTCCCTGTTAAAGTGCCTTTATACAGAATTCTGTATCACACGCAGAATAAAAAAAGTTTTTGCTTTGAACCTCTGCGTCAGCTCTTAATTTATGTCCTCTTCTTGAGAAAGACCCGGATTCTGTGTAGGGCTGTGCTCCTTGGGCAAATATTTGAATAGTGATAGTGTTCGAGAATGTGGAGGAACTGGACAGTGTGCAGTGCCTATAACAATGTAAAGAGTAAAAGGTATTATGTGTTTCAAAAGAAAGTTAAAAACAAAAAAGGTGTATTCTCACATTATATATAACCATATGATTTTCAAAGTGTAAGGCGGGACTTCAAAAAGATTCATAGGAAGATCTGTGATTGGAAATAAAGAAAACACATTTTATTTAAATAAGTAAGCCAAGACACTGTACTAAGAGAATATGTGAAGAACCTGAATCAATGTTTCTTATAACACCAAATATTGTCAAACCTTTGTTTAACGATTGGAAAAAAAAGATGTGTAAGTTATTTTTGATGTATTGTGGAAACCAGATACTGGTTTTTCCGGCATAACTCGGTTAGTGATGGAACAATTTGATAATTGAAACTGTCTCAGTCAAATCCTTACAGCTGTAATATCAGAGGTGGGAAGTAACTAAGTACATTTATTCAAGTACTGTAGCATACTTAAGTACAATGTTGAGATACTTGTACTTTACTTGAGTATTTCAATGTTGTGCTACTTTGTACTCCACTACAATTTAGAGGTACACTGTGTAGTCCACTACATTCATTTAATTTACCTTTAGTTACTTTACAGATTTGCATACATTATGTGAAATAATCAACACTTTAATAAGACTTTAGTTACACCTGGAGTAAATTCACAATCTACCCTGCAGTATACAAAGTAATTAAAACTACCAGCTTTGATAACACTTTAATGCATCAATAATAATAATCAAAACATAGATTATATATTATTGTGAATTGGACCAATCTGCATAATGAGTGCTTTTACTTTTGGTACTTTTGATGCTCATACTTTTCTACTTTTGCTTGAGTAACATTTTGAATGCAGGACTTGTACTTTAAACGGAGTACTCCTACACTCTGGTACGTCTAATTTCACTCAAGTACAAGATCTGAGTACTTCTCCCACCTCTGTGTAGTATGTCCATTTGCACATATTTTCTTTTCAAAGGATTAAGTTGACGACGCGTGGTTCTCAAATTTCCAACAGCACGTGAAGCCACCGCTTGACAAACCCTCTTCCACCCACCGCGCGCATGCAGTGCACGCTGTCGTCGTCATCAGTGCATACAGGAAGTAATGAACGGCTGTCGGATAAACGGGACACGGAGGAATGAGGAAAAGGCAGCCGAGGAAAAAAGACTTAGAATAATGACATCTGAGCTGCAACCACCGGCGGACTGCGAGCTGAACATCTAACACCCGCGGTGAGTAGAATACATGAGGGGGGGGGGGTTCTCTGAACGCAGCCATTTGTGATGGCATCTGTGTTAACCTCTGCGCTGCTGGCAGGACAGGGTCATGAGCTGATAACAAACACACACACACACACACACACACACACACACACACACACACACACACACAGATAAGAAGTTGCTGTGTGAGGGAGAGGAGGGAGAAAACCTGCTGCATCCCTTAACAACATAACTCTACTTACAAACTGTTGATCTTGTATTTAGACTACTTTGCACTGAACTTGAGTGGTTTGTGAAGTAAAGGCATGCTGATAGCAGGGTCCCAGGGCCACCTAGGGACTCTGGTGTCTCAAAACCAAATAAGAAATACTTAAATACGACTATTGTGGTTACCTTTATTATTCAGATGCTTCTGAATGTATAAATGCAACATAAAATCAACGTGTTACCCTAATGCACATCTGTTTGGGGGCGCCTTGACATCCAGAGGATTGGGAATCTGCCCTACAGCAATAAGTGAACTTTTATGGGCCTCACATATTCTCTCTGTGTCCTTGATCTGTTCCCTTTGAAGCCCACCTCCCCAGATGTCATCCTTTTGGGCAGCACAAAGCAGAGAGACTCACATTTTTACATCAAGGAACCACCTGTTTTACAATTGATTATGTATTGGGACAGTACTTGTGCATACTATGACAGCTCTTCTGTGTTTTACATGATGTCATGCTATTGTGCAAAATGACTATTAGAACAACTTTGATAAGCTCAGACATGTTCAAAAATGTATACTTAAATAGAGCTGAAACATTATTTTATTAATCAATAAATTGATCAAAATAAGATTAACTGGCATCCCTTTTGATAATCATTTACTTTAAAACATTTTAAGAATAACTGCAACTACTGATTGTTTTCATTATCCTATAAATGTAACCAAAATAATCGGAAAATATTGGGTTGGTTTCACAATCATTGAAAAGCAACCAAGTCATCTGTCTAGCTCTATTTTCAAGCAAAAAATGGCCCCAAAAACATCCAACTGCTACTATATCTTTAGGTGTTTGCACTGTCACTGCTGATGAAGTCGCCAGGTTCTTCTGGTTTATCCAGTTAAATAAATATGTATCTATTCATTATTAAATGGACGGCTTCCTCAGAACAAACTGTTTGGCAACATCTCTGAGTTGATTCATTTCTAATGTGTCATGTTGTGTATGTTGTCACATCTCCTAACCCTACATTTTGTATTGCGTCCTTCCTTTAACTGTGCAACATTCAACATTTCTGTTGACTTTTAAACTTCTTATTTATTTTCCATTAAGCCTAGGAGTAGTTACACACATTTTACATCTAAAACTAAGTTTAGGGCCCTGTGTGCAATCACAGTGCTCACACAGTACTTATTGCTTCACAGATGTTGCATTCAAGCTCTCGTAGTGACCGCAGTTTTTTTTTTAGGAAACTTCTATTCAGTCTGCAAGGGTCAAAGCTTTCCACCTTTTTTGCAGATAAAGTTATTGTGCTGTTAAGAAAGGTTTTTCTAACCTCTGGTACCTGGCCCTTTGTCGGCTACGATGAATGATAACTTCATGTATTGTGTTGGCGCCCTGAAAGGTTTGCCCCTTTTGGACTGGAGCATAATCCAGGTCCAGCTAAAGTCCACCAGCATGGTAACAATCCTTAGTCATGGTTGAACTGCAAATAATCAGTGATCAGAAAGAGCACAAGACCGATTGTGGAGGTCTGCTTTAAGGAGAGAGAAGTAATCCTAATGACTCAGGGTCGGCTTTCAAGCAGCAGGAGACGGAGGGGTAAGCCTTTAATGAATTTGTTTCAGTCAAGGTTATTTCTGGGAGTATTTCAGATAGGATAGTTTCTTGCCTCAGAGTGCGAGGCCTGATGTCGCTGCTATAATGGGCTGCTGTTTGGCTCGGGAGGCCCCTTTTATGAAAGGGTCTTTCACCTCCCGTGCTCCTTTCGAAGAAACGCAGCCATGTTTAGGCCACAGGAGTGCAAAGCTCCTGAGGTCGAGTTAAGAGGACCCTGGAATTTGTTTGGGATTAATTATACACATTCTGTATTTTACTATTCCTGGTGGGGACCCCCGAGACACGTCACACTGGTCTGTTGGGAGTTTAAGCAAATATCAGTGTATGAAATACAGTTTGCTCTACCTCTGTAATGTCACAAAATGTATTTTATCCACGTTCAGGTGCAAACCTAAGTATCAGCACTACTTCTCAACTTAAACTTTTATCAAAAGAAGAAAGAAAACTAAGCAGCACTACTTCAATTCACTATTATTTGAAGATGTTTATCTTTGGATTGATTCTTCTTCATTAATCAACTAATCACGGACAGCATGAAAATAGTCCCTTAGATCTTCCTGGATCATTCATCTCTACTCTTCTTGCTTTGCCACTCATTATATGTAATGTAAAACAAACTAGAAACATCACATTTTCTTAATGTGTCTTTCATGTCTTTTTAGTTTCTCCTCTATGCTTTATTTTCACGTGTCTAAGATGTAAAACAGAAAGAGTTGTGGCATTATTAGAGATGTTTCCTTGAAAGACTACTTGGATAAGTTATTGCTTGTCATAATGGTTAGTAAATAACGTTTTAAGTGCTTGGGAAAGTGGTATGTGTGACATCTGCTGGTTTATTGTGTAAATCCTGATGTACCTGTTCACAGCCGCTTCCCTTTTATATTCACTGAGGCTCCTCCCCTTCTCCACGTTAACACATCCCCCAAGTGGCCAGTGGCCACCTGATATTAACATAAACTGTGCTGCTTCCTGCTTCTTGTGTAATGTTTAACCCGGCATACACTCATTTGTGTGAGCTCTCACCAGATATATCATTTATCTTACCAGAGTTTAAAATATAGAAGGATTTCTCTGGAATTAAGGATTTGATTGTCAAACGAGCAAAGGATTCTTCTTATGGAAAGTATGTGAGTAGATTAGATTGATGAATCATGGACATGTCTCGTTGTAGGCTCAGCCAGAGGTGAGGTTTGAAAAAAAAATGTTTGGTCTTCAGATCAATTATTAGTATGTTTTCTTTAGTCACTGATGGTTTGTTACAACTGTGGAAAATAGTTTTACAGATATCTATTATTTTTTTGCTCATGTAGGTATCATACAATTTTATTTTATTCAACCTTTGTTTAACCAGATAAAAAGCATTGAGATAACAATCTCATTTACAATGCTGACCTGGCCAAGAAGGCAGCAAGGTTACACATAACACTGCAAGAGCAGCTGGTGGTAAGGACCTCAGACAACTTCCATTTAAAAGAGGCTATTGGGACAAGTGCCGTCAGTTTGAGGCGTGATTGAAGGTCATTCCAAGACCAAGGACCATAATAAAAAAGACTCCTTTTCCTAGCT